CTCACAAAGTAAATAACGTCTTAAAAGAATAACCACTGAATTTTAGCAATTATTTTATTTGTGTATGTATGTGGGTGTGTATGTGTGCAAATATGGTGTATGTGCATGTGGTGCATAAGCACATGTGTGTGCAGATGCATGTGCCTTTGCACGCACACAGAGGCCAGAGTGCTCTATCACTCTGCCTCATTCCTCTGAGACAAGATCTCCAACTGAGCCCTGGAGCTGTGCTGATGGCCAGCAAGCCCCCAAAATCCTCCTGGCTTGGGGTGAATTTGTAGACACATCTGGCTTTTTGTGTGGGTGCTGGAATCTGAACTCAGGGCCTCATGCTTAATGAAGCAAGCATTCTTATCCACTGAGCCATCTCTATAGTCCTTTGTTTTATTTTGTTTTGTTTTAACTTTTACAATGTTAGGGATCAAACCCAAGGCCTTGCATACTCTAAGCAAGCACTCTGTCATTGAGATTCCCGGTCAGCCCTGCAATGATCATGTGAACATCTGTTGATATTCTCTCTTCCTTAGTTTAATGGTATAATAGGTCATGGTCATGTTAATGGGATGAGTGGGCTATAGCACTCTTGAAGTTATAATATAAACCTTGCTTGTTCATTATTTCATATTCTTTTGATATAATAAAGACGTTTATAAGATGATAGTATTTTGTTTGTAATTTTGATAATGAAAAAAGCGTGCTAGGGATGTAGCTCAGGGCAGAGTGCTTGCCTGACAGATGCAAGGCCCTGGATTTGAATCCCAGCACTGTAAGAAAACATAAGAAAAAAATCATAAGTGAATTAGCCTATAATTATAGTTGTAATTAGTAACTTTTAATCTAGAGCCAGGTTTAGTGGTACACACCTGTAACTCAGTCACTTGGGAGGCAGAGGCAGGAGGATCACCACAAGTTCAACACCAGCCAAAACCCAAAAACTATTAATCTATACTTTATTCTTTCTTAAGTTTTGGTATTAAAATTGTGTTGGGCAGCTGGGTGTGGTGGCACATGCCTTTAATCCCAGCACTCAGGAGATAGGGGAAAGCAGATCTCTGTGAGACTGAGGCCAGTCTCGTCTACACAGAGACTTCCGGGACAGCTGGGGCTATAGGCATATGCCACCATATGCCATATCTGGCTCATTAGCTCATTATTATTATTATTACTTTTTTATTTTATGTAAATGAGTGTATTGCCTGCATGTGTGTAAGTGCACCTGTGTCATACAATGTCCACAGAGGTAAGAAGAAGGCTTTGGAGCCCCTAGAAATGGAGTTATGGATGGTCGTTAGTCACCATGTGGATGCTGGGAATAGAACCCGGGTCTTCTGCAAAAGCAGCCAATACTCTTAACTGCTGAGCCATCTCTCTAGTCCCCTCATTAGCTCATTTCAAAATATTTATTTTTATTACTTTAAATTATGTGCATTTGTATGTCTGGTGTGCATGTGAAGGCAGGTAGGTGCCCGTGGAGACTAGGAGTGTTGGATCCCCTGTAGCTGGAGCTGCAGGCAGTTGTAAGCCTGCCTGATGTGGTGGTCAGACCCAAACTCAGGCCCTCTGGAAGAGCAGTATAGCTTTTAACCACTTATCCATGTCTCCAGTCCAATTAGCTCATTTTTTGACGAAGATGTGTGAGGTTTTTTTTGTTTGTTTGTTTAGTTTTTTAGTTTTTTTGTGTATTCTAGATATTCATCTTCTGTCAGATAGATAGCCAGCAAAGATTTTTCTCCCACTTAAGTGTCTCTTTACTTGATTGTCTCCTTTGCTAGGCAGAAGCCATTTCATTTCATGAAGTCCCATTTGTCAACTGTTGGCATTATGTTCAGAGTGACTAGAGCCTTGTTTAGAAACACCTCTCTATGTCTATTGATCCATTTGGAATAGATTAAATGTAAAAGGGTGTTCTATGGCTTACTACTAGCCTACTTGCATTTCCAACTAGCACCCAGGTGCTGAGGCTGTCACTAGTCCCTGCTGTTTTGAGTTGCAGAGTTTCAGTAAGTTCCCTTTGGAGCCATCAGCTTGTTCAAGGTAAGCCAACAGTCAATGGCGACGTCCTTGCCCCAAGTTCTTTTCAATCACCTCACCATTACTTCTGTGATAATGGCTCCATTTGTGTTTTTTCTCTCCTCTAGGGTTGATTTTATCCTATTTTGCCATGAAATCATATACAGGCTCTCATAGTTACTGCTGTAACAGTGATGGCAAATGTCTTGAATTTTTAAATCTCTCCCAAATGCCTATTCTTATTTCTGTTTTCATTCTTAATCTCTTTCATTCCTCTCTTTAAACTGTCTGCTCTATTAGTCATTTCGGCAAGCTTTGGGAGTCTCTTCAGACATGGCTTGCTCATCTTTTTTTTTTTTTTTTTTTTTTTTTTTTTAGGGTCTCCCTATAGCCCCAGCTGTCCTGGAACTCACTGTGTAGACCAGGCTGGC